CTCACCAAGGGAGCCCGTCGTGTGCCAGTTCGCTTTAGGCACAACAGTCTTGTTGTTGAAGGAAGCATCCGAGCTGTAGCTTGCAAGCAGGAAGACTGCAAGGTGCGTGCGGTTACTTTGACCCCAGTGCTTGAGCAAATAGTCAACAGTGAGACCGAGTTCTTCGAGGAGCTCATCCCCGGTGTGCATGGGCTCAAGTGTGAGTCCAGGGCATACCTTGATGTCGGGTTGTATCTGCCCCTGGAAGGAATGCAGTACCGCACCACACTCGTGTGTGTGGATCGTGTGCATGGCATATGGGAGCTGTTGGAGATGTGCCAAAGCATTGCTGCGCTCGATGTGCTAGATGAGGAGTTTCCTGACGGTGTTGAGCGCACGGTGCTTACTATTGCCTCAAGAGAAGTGTTGTCTCCCGCGCAGCTGGGCATTGTTGTGCATGAAGGCAGTGCAGATGCTGTGGCACCCGCTGACAAGCCTGTTGAGCCTGATGCCCAGGCCGATGATGATGCAATGCCCGGCACCCCTGAACTTGATGCTTTGTTTGCTAGTGATGATGAGAAGGAGAAGCAGCATCATGATGGTAAGGATGTGCCTATGGTTGAGCAAGCAGCTGTCGAAGCCAGTGCCAGGGATGATGATGCTGTGGGTGATGAGGTTGAAGTGAACGGTGTGCGGATCAACGCTGAGTCTGCACTAAGTGTCATGCGCAAGGCTTGTGAATACCTCAACATAGGCCGCTCAGGAGGCAAGGCAAAGGTCTACAAACGGCTGTGCGAGCACCTCAAGAGGCTGCAGCTAGCAGCTAGCAGAAGGTGTGCGTATGAAGCAGGACAAGGCTCAAGCCGAGGAGCGTGAGCCCAACCAGGTTCCGCTCGTGCAGGAACCCACTATGCATGAGAGATTGAAGCACAACCTAACGCACATGCCGTACAAGGCATGGTGCGAATTCTGCACCATGCACAAGGCGCGCAGCGACAAGGCTGTCGCGGCACCCGAGCCCAAACGCTCGGTGTCCTTGCTGTCCTTCGACTTCGGATTTACTGGCAGAGAACTTGATCCCGAGAACAAGCTTATCACTTTGTGCATCAAGGACCGGGACACGGGGTGGCGCGAGTCAATACCCACCAAGCGCAAAGGAGGGCTGGAAAGCACCAGGTTTCTCACAGGTGAGGTTGTTCGCTTGTGTAACGTTCTGGGCTACAATGACGTGACAATAAGGAGTGATCCGGAGCCCAGCTGCCTCAGCCTCCAGCAAGAGATTCAGAAGGCCCGTGGCCGATTGGGCCAGCTGACTAGGCCCGACTAGGCTTGAGCAGGCAGGTGAGGAAGAGAAGGCCTCCAACGGCGCCGCCGAGGAAGCAGTGGCTTCCACACGTCAGCAAGCTTGTGTGCTGCTGAGCGCGTACGAGCATCACACCGGAAAGCAAGTGAGCAGCCAGCCCGCTCCATGCATGGGCGATGCGACATGGAAGTTGGATCCTCAATAGATACTGTGTTAGCCGTGACCAGCAAACCCCTTTTGAGTGCACGTTCCAGTCACCGTACACCGGAAAGATTGTGGAGTTTGGGGAATGTGTGGTGGCCATGTGCCGTACAGCTATGGCCAACAAGCCTGTGAAGGGTTCTGCTAAGTGGGTCAAGTCACTTTGGCTAGGCAAGGCCAATGCCAACGATGGACACCTTGTTGTCACGGCAGGCGGCAAACTGCTGATCACGAGGTCAATCCGCCGCACACCGCAAAGATGGGATGCCTCGCTGCATGATGTTATCAAGGACTTTCCTTGGGACCACCCAGGGTTCGTAGCCGGTGGTCTTGGCAAGATGCGCAAGCAGCGAGAGCCCAAGCCCGTCGAAGCCATTGCAATGCCAGAGGCTGATGAGGTTGGTGTGCTGGGCCCCGTGAGCCCTTTGCTGACTGCCGGTGATGAGGCGGCTACTGACCCGACGAGCCCTGAAGAGCTGCCCAGCCTGCCGGTTTCGCCAAGCGTTGAGAGTTCGAGCAGCAGTACAAGTGATGCTGCAAGCGTCGCAAGCGCTGACCAAGCAAGTGGTGAGCAGCCTGTTGCCATGCAAGGTGTTGATGATGAACCGGGGACTCTGGCCCCAAACCCGGAGCCAGAGATGCCTAGCGCTGGCGGGGCAGGCGGGGACAGAGATGATCCTGACAGTGTGCAAGAGCGTCCCGCAAAGTCCGCCAGGTTGCAAGCAGTGATGCAGACCGAATTGTATCACAATGATGCCCGAGTTGAGTTTGATTTTGAGAATGGCGAGCTTGATGAGCTTGAAGGGTATGATTATGGGTTGGATGATTACTACTTTAGTGAGGAACCAGACCTGGCCAAAGGTCCTCCCGACGAGCTGTGGCGCCCTTTTGGGCCGACTGAGCCGATGTTGTCCACGGACGAGATGTTCGCGATTGACAGCGCTGCCGACGACTTCGAGATTCGAAGGTTGTTGTCGATGAACGTGT